AAAAAAAAAAAAAAAAATCAATAGCATTCCTATACACAAACAACAAACTCACTGGGAGAACAATTAGGAAACACCACCTTTCATAAGAACATCCACAAAATTAAACACTTAGGAATCAATCTAATGACCATATTTATAGAGGCACAGTCTGTCATAGCTAAACCTTGGAAACTTCCCAAATGCCCATCAAAAGATGAATGGATAAAGACGACGTGGGGTTTTTTATATAATAGAGTACTACTCTGGCACTGAGAAGGGTAAGTTTGAGACTTTCTAGCTCAACAGATACACCTTGAGACCATTCTCATAAGTGTAATAAATCAGACACATATGTGCAAATATTGCATGGTTTCTCTGATGTAAGAAACTGAAAGCACAAATAAGCACCAAAATGTGTATTACATATTGGGAAATGGGAAGAAAACGTTCAAGTAAGGGTAACATAGGAGGGGAAAGGGGAAAGGATAAGCAAAAAAAAAAAAAAAAAAAAAATGGGGAAAAAAGAAACAGTATGCCATATGACAATAAGAGATGTTCATGGGGCTGGGGAGATGGCTCAGTGGAATAAGCGCTTCCCTGGCAAGCGCAAGGGCCTGAGTTCAATCCCCGGTTCTGCCAAAAAAAAAAGGGAGATGTTCATAACAATACTTTAAGATCATTAAAAACATTAAATTTATTGGCCTGTAAAAATATAAGACTGAGTTTTTAACAGATTTTTACCAAAGATGTAAATTTTAAAAATCTAGCACTCAGAAGGCTTTCAATCATCTATCTGATATCCTCAATTTCCAGAATAACTACAAATCCAGGTAATTAAAATTGCATTACATATAGAAATAACATACAAGTGTAGGTATTTTTTTCTTTTTCTTCTTTCTTTTCTTTTGAGACAGGGCCTTGATGTGTACGTCAGACTGGCCTAGAACTCACTATGCAGTGCAAGCTGTTCTCCAGTACCCTGTGATCCTCCGGCCTCAGCCTCCTGAATGCTGGGATGACAGGCGTGTGCCACCAAGCCCAGATCAAACGTGATCTTTTAAATCTCCTACCCATGAATTTATTGTTTTAGGGTTTAGTTTTCTTTTTTAAATATGTAAGCAACACACTTTTACAATCTAGTTAAAATACTAAGGTCTTAGCTAATGAGTTGAGACATACCAAACATTAAATTTTTAAATTTAGATTTCTTACAAAACTGTTCTCATATTAAAAGTACTATAATATAGTTAATGAAAATTAATTTGGACATAAAACCTCTAAAATTATAAATGTGTTTGATAAAATAACCAACTAAGCAGAAAAAAAGTTTTAAATGACATGAAGGTTAGTACAAGATCACCTCTAACTCTTTTTTAAAAAACAGGCAACGGAAAATGAGGAAATGCTAATTTTAACATACTACAGGCCATGCTCAATTACAGACAGAATAACAAAAGGGATCTTAGAAATCTTAAACTGACTAAACAAGCATGAAGTTGAACATAAAAAAGAAAATACTAACCTTTATTTCCTAACATCACAGCAAGATGTAAAGGAGTGTTTCCTAAAATTAAAAACAAAAATGAAATTAGAAGTTGTAACAACATGAAAAACATTATCTTCACAGTGGTTTCCGTCCCCTCAGAGGCCTCACCGGCAGATCCAAAGTTGGGGAAGCCCTTCCCAACCCCCAGGACGCACTCTACCTCCTCCACACCTTTCTAAAGACTTCGGATGCTCCTGGCTGCCACCACATCACCCTTTGCTCTTTTTGCAAACAATTTAAATATCTACTAATCCTCCTCAGGGTAATCATGAAGACCAAATCCTAGTCTTCAAGTTATTTAGAACTCTTCAGACTAACATGGAATAAAAACGTATTAGAAAAGGCACAACATGAAAACGGAACACAGGACAGAGCTCCTAACTTTGCCTAGGCAGAAGGAAATAAAAAAGAATGTACCTCACTGAAATACGCCTTAAAGAATGAACTAGAAATGTCATCCCAACACTCTTGGGAGGCTGAAGCAAGAGGACTACTGTTAGTTCAAGGCCAGCTTGGACTACACAGAGACCCTGTCTCAAAAAAAGAAAGAAAAGGAGAAAAGGAGAGGACAGGAAAGGAGAGGGTGTATGTAGAGGAGCAAAAACACTACCAGTAAAAAAATCCATTAAAAAAATTCAGGCTAAAAGAAGAAAGAAAAGGGAAGGGAAGGGAAAGGACAACGAAGGTCCCCAAAGGCCATGTGAATGGGCAATGTGTAGCTGACACTAAACAGTGAAAACGGAAAGATGAGACATGACAACGGAGACAGGAAGCCTGCTGTGGCGCTGGGTGACACAGAATGGCTTCAACAGACACCTGAGCAGCACTGACAGCCTAGGAAGCAGTGATTACACACAAAAGGACACCAATAGTAATACTTAAAAATAACGTTGAATAAAATGTATACATATTAATTCAGATCTAAGTAGCTCTACAGAATTCACCAGTTAAAGAATGATAAGCTGAGCTTTATGGAGCGGTCATGTGCACCATGAAATAGGCTGAACTACATTTTCTCAGAAGTCTGTGTGAGAACTCTCCCAGTATCTTACCCTGACAAACCCTTCCACTGGGAGGAGTGCTAGGCCAGCCTAACTGCCGTCCCTGCATGCCCTGCCTGAGCCTCCAGTGCACAGAAGTCACTGTGCCCAGCAACTAACTTTTTTTTTTTCTCTCTCTCTCCCTTCCCCCCACAAGGTAGAATAAAATGCGAACCATTGGCAATCTCTGTAAGGTGCCATTCTGAGTCAAACTTAGAAAACAACACAAATGCATGTGCTAAATTTAAAAACAAATGGTCAGGTTTTAAAAAATGGAATTACAGTAAACCTCTTGATTTTAGCTCTTAGCAACAACAAAAACAAGGGGTTAGCAATAAATTCACATTATATTTTTGAAACCTATGAATTGGAAATTCAAATTTCCATGAGTCACTTGGCCTACACAGGACTTTTGAGTTTTCACACCTGAGAACGCTTCCTAGTTGAGATATGGAAACCACAATAATATAAATTGTTAATAAATGCACACTGAAAAAGGTTTCCAGAAAAAAAAAAAAAAAAAAACTGCTCACAATATTATTTGAGTCTAAACTGTTGCATAAGTATTGGTATAAGCTATGTTTTAAAAAGACAAACTTTGATTCTCCCAAAAGTTTAATAAAGTCCTTTATTAAACTTCAGGTATCTCCTCAAAAGGCTGACATAATGTTCACAGAATTTATCTGGGTAAGAATAAGAATGTAAGGTACATGAAAAAAGTATTTTATTTTAAAAAATCATTGTTGATTACTAGCTTAATATGGAGTATACAATGAAGGAAACATTTTCATTGAAGATATTTTTATAAATCAACTCATTTCCTTCTGTGCTTATGCTGAAACCAATTACCTATTTCCAAAGACAATAAAACTCGATGTTAGTAACTTTTCTCTTTAACTTCTCATAAAACTGTAAGATTAGGGACTCTCAGTTGAAAACTTTAAATCAAGGCCTCAGAGCAGTTTTTCTACAACTACTATGTGCCATTCAAACACTTAAGTGAACAAAACACTTATGAACAATTTTAAACACAATCATCCACTGGGCATGATGCTGCACACCTGCAATCCCAGCACTCGAGAGGCTGAGACAGGAAGATCGCTGGGAGCTTGAGGCCAGTCTGGGTTACACAGTGAGCTCAAGGCCAGCTTGAACTGCATAGCAAGTCCTGGACTCTAAATAAATACAATCACCCACTCATAACAAATCAGGAACCATTAGCTCAGTAAACTATTCTAGGCCTTCAAGACCTTCAGCATAATACAAAGGGTAAACATACCAACGTGGATAAATATCAATTCCTAAGCTGCCTGGTCTCAAACGAAGTCGTCTTCCTCCTTAGAAAATACTGTAAGCTAGGATTGGTGGCCCAGGCCTACACTGCCAACCTGTGGGAGGCTGAGGCAGGAGGATCATGAGGTGAGGCCAGCCTTGGCTACACAGTCCGTTGAAGGCCAACATAAACTACACGGTGAGACTGGTCTCAAAAATCCGACCCACTTCCCCCTCAAAACCACCTAAACTTCCTAAGTCTGCACTCACATTCCATGACCACTTACCAAACAAAAAACATTTTATCAAAAAGTTAACTAAAACTAGGGGCCGGGCAAATAGCTCAAAAGATCCCTGGGCCTGGTGTGCCGGCCCCACACCCAGGGTGCACTGAGCCTGCAATTGAGACTGGGTGTGGTGGCACATGGCTGTGGTCCCAGCCCTTGGGAGGCTGTAAACAGGACAATTACTATGAGTCCAATCTAGTAGTGAGACCCTGAACACCCTGTAGACCCTTCCTTAAAATACAGAAATAAATAAATAAATAAATAAATAAATAAATAAATAAATAAAAAAGAAAAAAGGTTAAGTAAAACTAACGCACAAATGAGAGCCAGAAGCCAAAGCTCACTGAGCCCCAAGCAAATGCTTCCATACTGCTGTCCCTCCCCAGGCAGGGCTGTGGGACGCTCCAGCTCAGGTGCTTACCATTCCACCCAGATACCTGCAGCAATGCCAATGGGCTCTCAGCCTCCAACCTCCTCTCTAAAGCTCTACTGCAATATTTTACAACAAAAATTGGGACATTACATTTCCACTTTCCATCTTTACCATGGTATAAAAAAAGTTTAAAAGTAAGTTCTCTTTTTTCATTGTCTTTGCCTTAGCTTTCATTTAAACTAAGTTCTCCCATAAGCAAGAAGCCCAGCTGACCCTGCCTGCTGTCTCACACCCATGCCCACCCTCCACTCCAAACACACACAATGCTTTCCTCTTAAGGCTCAAGTTAAGGGCCAGCCCTTGGGAGAATCTCTGTTCTCCTAGGTAATCAGATGATCCCTGGTTCCGATGCCAGTGCCAACACTATTTACTCACTTCATTTCACTTTAACCATACCTATTGTCCTCTATGTCTCCTTTGCGGGATGTACAACTCTGGGAGACATGTATTTTATCAATGTGTAGCAAACACTTCACATATCTGTGAAGTATTCAACACATCTGACATTCAAGATACAGCCAAGATAGCCTGATGGGGTAGCACATGCCTGTAATGCCAGCACTCAGGAGGCCGAGTCAGGAGGACTGGAGTAAGTGTGAAGCCAGCCTGTGCTACATAGGGAGGCCCTGTCTCACAGCCAAACCAAAGGTGCATTTGTTTGTGTTTTGTTTGTTTGTTTTGTTTTGTGCAGGATCAGGGATTGAACTCAGGACCTTGCGCTTAGCAGGCAAGTGCTTATTCTACTGAACTATCTCCTCAGCCCCAAAGGTGCATTCATGAATGAAGAAAAAAATGTAAATATAACTATCACCGCTAGCAGCATCAACAGCTGGAATCCTGGTAATTAAAATGCAACTGGTGGGGCCAGGAAGATAATCTCAGAAATTCTAGCACCTGCCAGGCAAGTGCCAAGGACCTGGGTTCAATCCCTGGTACCACATGCTGTGCCAGCCCCACCACAGGCCCGCTAAGTCAGCCAATGAAACTAGGCATTGTGGAGCACGCCTATAATCCCAGCACTGGGGAGGCTGAAACAGGATGATCACTCCAAGTCCAAGCAGAGTAGTGAGACCCTGTACCAAATACATAAATGAAAAACAAATGCAACTGGTATCAGCTTATGTAAGAGCAATAAACACAAATGTTTTCATAACTTGATGACTGCAAATGTTTTTCTGGAGCTAGGGATTGAACCCAGGGCTGTAACACTGAACTATAATCTTAGCCTTTTTTTGACTCAGTTTCTAAGTTACTAAAGCTGGACAGTCTGGATTAGAACCTGTGAATCCTGCCTCAGCCTATTGGAGTTCTGGAATTACAGGCAAGCGCCAGCACACACAGCTGAGGTGATTATTCCTTAATGCCTGGACTGCATTCATAGAACCACCTAACCTAGAGTTTTCCTTTGAGACATTTTTATTAGTCTCTAATAATTAGTGTACTTATGTTTTTTAGTGATGGCAACTGAATCCAATGCCTTGCACATGGCAGGCACACTGCTACTACCATGTTGGTAATTCCTTATGCTCATTTTGACAAATTAAGTATTTCTATCATCAACTTATCTAAATCTTTCACTGGCATACATTGTGTTCACAACATTCTCATGATGCATTGACATTAAATTTTTTTTTATTTTAAATGTAGTTTAATGATTTTTCTCATTAACAACACTCTCTTCAAGTAGGTTACAATTTATACCTACAGCAGACTAGCCAGGATAGTTTCAGGATCTTCAAATTCACTGTTATATTTAAAGAAACATTCAAGCCACGGTGAAACCATGTATCAAAATGAGAGGATCATTTCAGCCTGTCATCCTGCAGGTATACTTCTAAAGTACTGGAGAACAGTTGGGTTTTAAATGCAAATCCTGCCAGTTCAAGGATAGCCAGGACTGTGCAGCAAGACACTGTTGGCTTTCTTGCTGTTTTTCTAGTTTAATAATGCCTGCTTTTTGTTTCATTTGCATGAAATAAAACTTAC